GCATTCCTTGACTCTATAATAGTGTTCATATTTGTATCATATATTTCTGATTTATAAGTCAGAAACCAATATGCACTACTATTTTAAGCATAACCAATAAACACATAATCCACTGGTTTTGGTCCTATATTAGTCTTTTTAGGAACAGAAACTTCAACTTCTGCCAAACACCCCCACACTTTTAAGTATTTGTAGGAAGGCGGTCGACCTTTCCACAATTCATGAGAAGTGTTGTTGGTTTTCTTGTGGGGGTATTCTGTTAAGGATATAATTTGTAGATAATATTGCTTCCCCCCACAAGTTTTGTGGTAAGTCTAAACTTAGTAACATGACATTCATCATTTCTTTAAGGGTTATATTCTTTCTTTTAGCAATTCTATTTTGCTGTGGAGAATAGGGTTGTAACAACCCTCATACTGTTTACTGATTAATGACTGATCAATCACCGATTACTGTTAAACGAAACGGATAATGACTGATAACTGACTGATGATTGAACTGATTAAAAGTACTGAACTGACTGACTGAAATTGGAAACCGAATTGATTGAGTATATGTTAGTTAAATTGCATTTTATCTGTTGACAGTATGATTATCTGTTCATGTTCACATGTTTAAACTGCTAATGGAAGGCCTTATCGGCGGCCGAATCTGAAACCGATTAGTGTTCTAAAGGGTGCTGTAATTTGGTGAATAATGCCATGTTGTGCACAAAATTCATTTAATAGTGCATCATATTCACCACCCCTGTCACTTCTAACCATTTTAATGGTTTTACCAAGTTGATTTTCAACTTCAGTTTTGTAGAGTTTAAACATTTCTAAAGCTTCATCTTTCCTTCTATGTAAGTATACATAACAATATCTTGTGCAATCATCGATAAATGTTATGAAATACTTTTTACCTCCTCTAGTTTGAATAAATTTAAGATCACATACATCAGTATGAATTAATTCTAGAGGTTCGATTTTTCTTTCAACCGATTTAAATGGAGCTTTAGTTAGTTTCATTTTTCCACAAATCTCACATTTGTGATTAGGATCAATTTCAAACTTTGGTATATAATCCAAACCAATTAATCTACGCAAAGCATCAAAATTTACATGTCCTAATCTACCATGCCATAAATTTGATTCAAGAATATAAGCAAAAGATGTGTTATTCTCATTAATAGCAAGTTTTGGTACGACCGTCATTACATTCAACTTAAAGAGACCATCGCTCATGTATCCCTTATCAATATATATACTACTCTTTGTTAATACAAATTTATCATACTCAAACACAAGCCTAAAACCATTTTTACTTAACAAAGAACTAGAAACTAAATTCTTTCGGATGTCTAGTACATGCAGTACGTTGTTAAGGGTCAGTTCCTTCCCTGATGTCATTTTCAAGATCACTTTTCCTTGTCCAGCCACAGTAGAAGTAGAAGAATTTCCCATGAAAAGTTATTCACCATTTGCAGCCTCATTGTAGGTAGTGAACATCTTCTTGTTCGCACAAATGTAACGAGTTGCTCCAGTGTCAATCCACCATTCCTTGGGATTTCCAATCAAATTAGCCTCAGACACCACAGCAGCGAAATTGATGTCATTTACCCCGTCAGAGATGTAATCAAGTTCTGTCACATTGGCTTGATTGGTGGTCTTCTTGTTTGTACTTCTGCGATCATTCTTAGGGTGGCGGTAATCAGAAGCTCGATGTCCGGTCTTGCTACAATTATAGCATTTACTTTTGAACTTTTTATTGTCATTGTTGTCGCCTTGTTTAGGACCATCTTTAGTAAACTTCCTCTTTCTATTATGTGGTTTGTGTACTTATTCAACCACATTAGCCTCGGACTCAATGGGATTTTTACCCATCTTTTCAGCTTTTCGGTTATCTTTCTCAATTCTCAATCTTACAATCAATTCATCCATGGTCATCTCCTTGCGTTTATGTTTTAAATAATTTTTGAAATCTTTCCAAGCCGGTGGTAACTTTTCCACAAAAGCAACGACTTGGAAAAACTCGCTAAGAGACATACCTTTAGAATGAATATCATGCAAAATTAATTGAAAATTTTGAACTTGGGAAATAACCGTTTGGGAGTCTACCATAACGAAGTCCAGAAATTTACTGACAACAAATTTCTTTGTACCGGCATTCTTTGTCTTGTATTTTTTCTCCAAAGAATCCCATAAATTTTTTGCTATTTTCAGAGGGCTGTAAACATTATACAGCATGTTATCAAGGCCATTGAGGATGTAGTTTCTACACAGGAAATCAGAATGCTTCGGAGTGTCTACAACGACAACAACTTGCCGATCACTTTCATCCTCTCTAAGTACTGGAGCCTCTTCACAGAGAAACCGGGCCAAATTTAGAGTTGTAAGATAGAACAGTATTTTCTGCTGCCATCTCTTAAACTTAGTGCCATTAAATTTTTTCGATTTTTCTTCATGATTTATTGGAACTTGAGCATGGCTCTGGATATGGACCGGAGTCGTTGTAATGATCGAATTTGGAGTACTACTTTCAGCAGCCATAATTTCTGATTACAAAAATCAGAAAAAATCAAAAACACAAATTAATTTTCTAGTTACTAAAACTAGAAAATAAATTATAACACAAAATAATTTTATTTCCTTGTTACTAAAACTAGAAAAATAAAATACCACAATAATTTTCTGTAACACAAATTAATATTCTACAATTGTTAATGACACCAGTTTATTACTACTAGTTGTCAAAGAAAATAAACAGTATATTACTACTATTTGTATTTTCCAACTAGAATATCACTTTGTGAAACCACAAAAAATTAAATACAATGAAAACACCAAAAAATTAATCTGTCTTAAGATTGTTAGACAATCTTCATTGTATTTGTAAAATAAATTCTGTTTGTGTACAAATTAATTTTTTGAACAAATTTTCTGATCAAATCCAGTGTTTAACACTATGTCCTTAAGAAATATTCGTCATCTTCACGGTGCTTTCGGAATGTGGACGTCTATCTCATAGGATAAAATGATCAACATCAAACAATAAAAGCACTACAAATTGTTTGCACAACGAACACATTAAGTGTTTACACTCTTTCCACAAACTTTCTCACAAGAAAATAATATAGCAAAATGTAGAGAGAAATTTCAGAATATTTTGGACGAAAATTGAAGTGAAAAAACCAAGCGAGGACTAGTCTATTTGTAGGTGCAATGGTGCCTCTTAGTTTTGAATTCAACAGGTATAGTACTTTTGGTTTAAATTAAACAGATACAAATCTGTTTGAATTTAATTTAAACAGGTAAGGAACTGTCTGGTTTGAATTTGTTTGGGTTTTGAATTTTGAACAAATTCGGATCTGTTATGGAGCTTGTACAAAAATTCTGAAGAGGTGCAAAAATTGAATTTTCCAACTGAAATTTTAAAAAATAAATTCAAATATTTTTGGCCCAAAAAGATAGGTATTGGGCCAGACAAAGCCCAACCCAACCTCACACCCGCGCCTAGCCTGAACGGACAGACGACGGCAGCACGTGTGTAGTTATTTTTGGGTTCATTGGGTCTAGCCCATAACCTCTCCCTTCTACAAACTTGGGGTGCCCTTGGGGCCTTTCCCAAGTTACAATCTCATGCCTTATAAACCCACAAAATTCTTCCCACCAAACCAATGTGGGACAAGCCTTTATTCAAACCTTAAGGAATTTTTCACCAAAAACTCCATTTCCATAGAGCTCACTTTGGTTTCAATTTCTCATTCACCTGATAATGGTTTTGAGCAACCAAATATACCACGTGAATCACAATGCAATATAGAACGCGTTACCACTTAGACCCGCTAAATTTGGTCCATGAGTCCCACCTAAAAAATAGACCAAAATTTAGGAACAATTTAATTTCCAAAACCATTTCTAACATAAATAACTCATTAAAATTGCATAGACACATTGTCATCAACATCCAAAACCAAACCAAATAACTTTTCGTACTTTTTATCTCTAAAACTCATCTCTCAAACTCAAACCAAACATACCCAGTATTTTTTTTTTTGGGTTAATATTAATAATAGTGCTATACCCTCTGGAAAAATAAACAATAAAAATAACACTGTTATATTTACGAAAAATCTTCCCCCATAACCCCGAATGATGTGGTAAAGTTGGACGAAAGATTTTGAGAAAAGGAAGGAGGGTAGGAGCATGAGTCATTAATTTTTTTTTTTTGGCCACATCATTTAAAGGGATTTATAAAGAAGAAATTGTGTAAATAAAATATTTTTTAGTGTGCTTGGTTTTAGTTTTTTGAAAATTTAGTTTTTTTTTTTTGTTTTTTTTTAGTGAATATTTTTAAAATTTTAAGCAAATTTTTTATTTTTTTAGATGCACCTTATTTAGATGTATCTAAATAATAAAATATTTGTGAAAAAATATTTTAAAAATTAATAAATACACAAAAATATAAAAAAATACTAAATTTAATTTTTTTTTTTTTTGCCACATCATTTAAAGGGATTTATAAAGAAGAAATTGTGTAAATAAAATATTTTTTAGTGTGCTTGGTTTCAGTTTTTTGAAAATTTAGTTTTTTTTTTTGGTTTTTTTTTAGTGAATATTTTTAAAATTTTAAGCAAATTTTTTATTTTTTTAGATGCACCTTATTTAGATGTATCTAAATAATAAAATATTTGTGAAAAAATATTTTAAAAATTAATAAATACACAAAAATATAAAAAAATACTAAATTTTTATATTTTTGATATTTAGTGAATTTTTTAAAGATTTTTTTCATAAATATTATATTTTTTAATTGTATTTATGTTAAGTCTGTTTAAAATTTTAAAAAAAATACTTAAAATATTAATAAAAATTCAATGAAAAAAAATACGAAAAACATAAAAATAATTTTTTTTAAAAAGTATTTTCTGAAAACACAAACCAAGTGAATCAGATCATTTTGCTCCCATTATCTTGCGGCTCTCTCTGCTATAGGATAGATAAATTCTCTCATAGAAGTTAAGGGCTTTGAAATTGCACATAGAACATCTTTATTTAAACAGCACTTGGCATGAACAAACAAAACCCAAAAGCTAAAAGCAAGTAATGAAAAGAAACATGGAAAAGAGAGATATCCAAACAAGCCCCAAAGGACAATAATCTAATACATACGCAGCTGAAAATCATAAAATAAAAAAAAAAAATCTAATTCTCAGTGATGAACTGTTTGATAAGAAGCATCAACTGATCTGAATCAGGTGAGATGGGATCAATGTTGAAGAAACCATGTTGCTTACCTTCAAACTCCACGTACTCCACCTTCTTTCCCCAACCTTTCAACTTCTTAGCGTAGTCTTTTACACGGTCTCGTAGCAGATCACTACTCCCGACCACCACAAGCATTGGATCCAGATCTTTTGATTCCAAATTTGGGCTAACCGGTCCGAATGGATTCACAAGTGGGTGATCCGTGGTCTCTCCAATTGGTATTGATAGCCTCCAAAACCTACCCAAATTATTACCCAATTACTCAATTAATTAATCCAACAATTTTAAAAAAATAACTAGTATATATATGGGTATAGATTTTTTTTGTTCCCCAATTTTTTATAATTTGAATGTGTCATAACAGAATTTCAAGACATAATTTAATAATTTGAGACTAATGGGATAAAGTAATTAAAAAAAAAATCCTATCTATTCTTTTTATCTATCTATCTATTACTCCCTCCATCCTAATTTGTTAGCTCCTTTTGAGAATTCTCACTTTTTAAAGGACATACAATTATTATACTTAAATTTAAATTTCAAAATATTATTTCATTAATGCCCTATATTTTCAAAATTTTAATATATTTATAATTACGCAAAGAAATAATTTGAAAAAATCAAATATTTTTTACCTTGACTTTTCAAATGGGACTATCATTCTAGGACATACCAAAATAAAATAGTGGACCAACAAAATACAACAGAAGAGTATCTTCTATTACATAATACAAAGGGTTGGTGTTGATCCTTTTTTGTCACATAATTTTTATTTTTAGATTATTCTTATGTTATAAATTCTTTTATAGTGGCCAATTTCAACTCACGTAAAAATTTTAAACACCTTTTTTCTTTGAACTTAATTAGATCAACTGTCTTAATTAAATTAAGTGGGCTAGGCTAGCCCACTTTTTTTCTTTGAACTCAACATTTTTAAACATTCACCCATCTAAATTATTCCCAATTTTTTTTCTTTTTTTTGAACATCCAACTACTTAATTTCAACTATATCGATACTTTCTTAGACTCCCACCCTTGTCATTCTCATTTCTAGCAGCCCTCTTCCCAACCTTCCTCGCCAACCCCAATCTTTCCCAACCCTTCTTACACCCCCCAATCATTCCCTTGTATTTTTTCTTTTAACACTTGACTAAATTCCAACTATCTTAACAAATATTTTAAAAGTTAGGGATGACAATAAAATCTCAATATCATGATAAGGTTAAATTGTTATAAAGAGTAAATTACAAATACCCTTTCTGAAATTTGCTTAAAATATGAATTGTTCTTTGTGGTTTGAAAAATTACAAATATTTCATTGTCAGAATTTTTTATTTAACATAATTAATTAAAAAAATAAAATTTCTAACTGTTCGCCTATATAATAATAAAATTATCTGAATTATTAATTAAAATAAAATTTTAACATTATTAAAAATTATTAATTAACTTGATGATTTATTAATAAAAAGGCTTATTTGTTATAAAATTAGAAATCCTAAGGTGCATAATACAATTTTTAGAATTACAGAGAATAATTTATAATTTAAGTAAATTTCAAAAGATGTTTGTGATTTACCCTAATGAAAAAAAGGCATAGTGTAAAAAAAATAAGGGCAAATTACATATGCCCCTCGAGGTTTGGCTAAATTACAGATACCCCCTTGAGGTTTGAGAAATTACGAATTCCCCCCTGAATGCTATATTTGCATAAGAAATTATGGGGTAATTTGTTATGAAATATAAACCTCAGGGGGCAAATTGTTATAAAAATACAAACCTCAGGAGGCGGGATGTAATTTCCGAAACCTCAGGGGTATCTGTAATTTAGCCAAACCTCGAGGGGTATATGTAATTTGCCCAAAAAATAAAGTACACCCGCATAGTTGATCACTCTTATATTTATATCTATAAGGTTAGGGGTTAATTATTGTCGAAGATAAAAATTAACACTCTCATTATGACTCCTATATTTATATCTATGAGATTAGGGATCAATTATTGTCCATGATAAAAATTTATAATTTATTCTTATTATTGAATTTTTTTTGTTGGACTATTTGTTGGGTGACTCATCACTTTCTTCTTATAGACTCTTTCTAGAATTTGAGAAGTGTTTACGTGTCTAAGCTGCATACTATATACTATGCCTCCGTTTGGGAAGTGTGTTAGCTTTTTGGTTTTTTGGCTTTTTTAGCTATTTTAGTCTGGGCTAAAAAGCTTGGTTTGGGAAGGGCTTTTTGGCTTTTTGACTTTTTTGACTTTTTTTGTGAGAGAAGAATGTAATGATTATAGGTTGGATGTGATGTTTTGTTTGTTATGACTAAAATAGCCTATTTTATTTTTTGTGGCTAAAATAGCCAAAAAAGCCTGAAAAAGCCCTTACCAAACACAGGCTATATGTACTTGCATAAGTTTTACAAATATATATATATATATATATTATTTTATAAAATTGTCTAAATTCTCATAAATGTATGTAAATTATAATTTTTAAAATTTTTATGAGTTAATTTATGTATATTTGTGAAACCTTACGCTATTTTATAAAATTATTTACGTATATTTGTGAGAATTTATGCAATATAATGGATTGATTATTTAACTATGATTGTTTGAAACTTGTATCAATCCTTTTAGATTTGGTGTCTCACTTGAACTCTTATATATGTACAATTATTGGCTCTTTTTAAAAAATAGATTAAAAGTCACTTCCTAAGTTTTAACCAGAAATTATTTAATAATCTCGGAACATTATGTAGTCATATTCCAAGTTAATTATCAATTATTTTGCTCTCATATTGTTCCCTATCCAACATAAATTGTGGGTTCCTACCTCTTTCTATCAATCAAAACCTTATAGAATATTACATGTCCATACTTCGAGAATACTGAATAATTACCCAGTCTTAACCCACTTTCCCTTCCACATAAAAAAACAAAAAAACAAAAAAAAAGTTAGCTTTTAACCATTTTTTCAAAACACCCCATTGTTACTACTGATTTTTCTAAAACGGTAGTGTTATATGCACCAATTAGTGTACTAACTAGTATACAAACACTAGTTATGATATTATTATTAACCTCACTCATTATATAAATTACAAATACCAAAACATCTTAAATTATGTCACATTATCGATTGGTATATTAATTAGTACACTAATTAATACATATAACATTATTCTTTTTATGACTCGTTTGGGAACAAACTTCTTTAATAAATTTTTAACTTTTTTAATAAATACGATGTAAAAAATATTAATATATTTGGAATGATTTTTTAATTTTTTACGAAAAGATATATAAAAAATAGAGAGAAAATAATTTTTTTAAATTTTTTAATATAAATTATTAATTTTTTAAAAATTTTTAGTAATTTTTTTTTTTGACTAAAATCATCACTTACCAAACAATTTAAAAAAAAAAAAGAAAAAAAAAAAAAAAAAAAAAAAAGCAAAAACCTGTCAATTAGTTCCCAATTCAAGAAAGCATCTTTAGGTCCCTCAGCCTCAGATCTAGTGAGAGCAGTTCCACCGAAAAAAGGTGCCAATAGCACATACCCTCTTACTCTCACCGGGTCCAATTCACCCGACCCAGCTCCAAGCCTAACTGCCAAATTATGCGCTATGTTCCCCCCAGCTGAGCTGCCCGATATAAAAATTCGGCTAAAGTCAGCCACATCACTCAACCACGGATCTGACTTGGCTTGAGCTTGAAGAGCAAGCCACTTCACAGCCATATAGCTATCCTCAATAGCAGCCGGGAGCCGATTCTCAGGAGCCAGCCGATAGTCAGGGGAGATGATCAGGGCTTGGAGATCCAAAGCGAGGCGAAAGCAGTAGTTCTGGCAGTTAGGCCAGGTTCGAGAGCCGATGCAAAAGCCGCCGCCATGGATGTAGAAGAAGATAGGGAGCTTAGCTGAGGAGGAAGTGGCTGGCTTGTAGAGGCGGAGGTGTAGGTTGTTGATGGAGTCGAATTGAACGTCTTTCCAGATAACAGAGCCGTCGTCGTAGATAGGGACGTTGAAGCTAGGTTTAGAGGATCGGACGATTGAGCCGTCACTGTACACTCTGAGGACGCCTCGGCACTCGTCCACCTCGTAAGGCGGCGATGTGGTGGCGATGGCGGTGGCAGAGGTTCCAGACATTCTCTCTCTCTTTCTCTCTCTCTCTATCTCTATCTCTGTGTGTTTAGGAGGTGTGTATATGTATATATATAAAAAAAGAGAGAGAGAGAGAGAGAGAGAGAGAGGAGAAGGAACAAGGGAAGAGTTAAAAAGAGAGGTTGGGTTGGAGAGGAATTATTCATCGCCTATTTATTTATAATGAAGATGATTAAGGTGATGACTACGTGTGTTTGTATTTTTATGGGTAGGGGTTAAGTTAAGACAAAATGTGTTTCGCCTGTTAAAATGAGGGGAAAATTATGAAAATCAAAATCCAATAAATGAAACATTTTGTAAATTAGACACAAATATATGATAATTTTTAAAATTTTATAAATTTATGTAAATTTATATTCAATTTATATATTTTTGTTAGATTATTTATGTAAATTTATATAATTTTGTAATAAAATTATATATAATACGTATTGTACATCAAAACATTTCCCTTAAAATAATTGTATGTACTTAAAATTGTTTTTAGTACAAGTTATTTCTCCATTTTTCAAACATTATTGAGCAATACTATGAACTCAATGAAACCCGCACCCACGTCAACATTGTGTAGGTTTTTTAGTAATTTTCTTGAAGTTTGCAACATTTTTGAAAATTACAAAAATGCTTAATAGCTCTAATGGGAAGGTGGGACCCACCCTGATGTGATATTTGTGCCTTGTTTTGTTTTATTTTTTTGTTTTTTTTGCTTTGACACATCACTAGAGCTCAAATTAGAGCTCTAGATTTAGAGCTCTCTAGCATTTCCCTTGAAAATTATTACGCAATCTTAGATCATTATTATACATTGTTTATATAATACTTTCAATAAATTATTAAAATATGCTATGAACATTTTCAACGTACTGTTTAATAAATTTTGGGCAAATTACATATACACCCCTCGAGGTTTGGTAAAATTACAGATACCCCCCTGAGGTTTCGGAAATTACATCCCGCCCCCTGAGGTTTGTATTTTCATAACAATTTACCCCCTGAGGTTTATATTTCATAACAAATTACCCCCTAATTTCTTATGTAAATATAGCATTCAGGGGGAAATTCGTAATTTCTCAAACCTCAGGGGGGTATTTGTAATTTAGCCAAACCTCGAGGGGTGTATATGTAATTTGCCCTTTAATTTTTTGGGTATGGCTTTTGTCACCCCTCAAGGTTTGGTTAAATTACAGATACCCCCCTGAGGGTTCGGAAATTACATCCCGCACCCTGAGGTTTGTATTTTCATAACAATTTACTTTTGTTTTTTTTGCTTTGACACATCACTAGAGCTCAAATTAGAGCTCTAGATTTAGAGCTCTCTAGCATTTCCCTTGAAAATTATTACGCAATCTTAGATCATCATTATACATTGTTTATATAATACTTTCAATAAATTATTAAAATATGCTATGAACATTTTCAACGTACTGTTTAATTTTTTGGGTATGGCTTTTGTCCAGTTAGGGATCGGACTGGACCGTACTGTTGGACTTGTGGGGGTCCACCACGGGTCCCGTTTTGATAATCTGAACCGTTTAATGTATAGAACTCGTCGAGTACTATATGCCTATAAAAAATCACGTTGATCGGATATCGGTAGCTAAATGATCAAATCAGTTTCGTATTAAAAAAATTGAACAGTGAACAAATTAGCGGTTGACAAAAAACTGTTTTGATCACATAGCTATCGATATCTGATCAACGTGATTTTTTACAAGCATATAGTACTCGATGATTTCTATATATTCAACGGTTCAGATTATCAAAATGGGGCCCGTGATGGGTCCCCACGGGTCCAACAGTACAGTACGGTCCAGTCCGATCCCAGACTGGAGAGAAGCCTTACCCTAATTTTTTTTTATTAATTATCATAATTAGTCTTAACTCATTTTAATCTCCGCAATAAATTAGTTTATACAATATTTATTTTAACAGTTATTCTACAAGTTAGTTACATTTTAAGATTTTTAGATATTTCTTTGCATAAATAAATAAAAATAAAGAATAATATTGAATATATAAATAAAAAATAAATTAAGGTAAAATAAAAAATATAAATTGTTGACAAGTATATTACTCACTAATAAGAGAATTAGTTAAAGTAGTAAACAATTCATATGATTTTATCGTAATCTATCATTATTGTATTGAATTTTTTACGTGTTTAATTGGAGAGAGTTGGAGCGGTTATGTTTGCCACTAAACTCAACACACATCATGTATTTAATTATGTTCCCTTTGTCCGTATCTCCCAATTTCATTTATTGCTTATACCTTATGACAATCATAATTAAATTATATAAAAAATTTAGAATCATAATTAAATTATATAAAAAAATTTAGATATAATTTAATAATTATAAAAACTTTTAAAAAATATATATGTAATTTAATAGTGAGTAATTTTTTATAATAAATTTAAATTAGTTAATTCCATTTTAATGACATATTCATACAAATGAAATACAGCCAATGCAAGTGGCAAACAAATCCGATAGGGCCCACATGACAAATTTATTTTTGAACAATTAATTTTTTTAACAGATTTTTTTTTAGGGTAATTGACCTATAAATCCCATATGGATGACTAGTGAACATTGCAATCCGAATTGTTTTATAAGGGAAATTCTATTTCTACCAACCTGATAAACTCAGTGAACACACTTAATGAAAAATTAGATTAATGATAATTATATCCTAATTAAAAACTATTATAATAGCCATTGATCAACACTCCTAATATTATATATACAAATTCTCTATACACATCTTTTAGAAATAAAAATATCTCAATATACACTTTTTGAAACAAAAAAATTAAACCATAATTTTTCTTTTGTAGTCGCTTTGTTCCTTACACACTCTGTACTCCTCTCTGTTATTTGCAAACAAAACATCTCCTCTATTGCTTTAATCTTTAAGTGTATAGTCAATTATTAACATCGTTTAATTATTAATTCAACAATTTTTATTTGATTTTGATATGGAAGAGTTGCAAACCTATGACAATTCAAACTCAAGCAATGGTGACAGCAAAATCAGTGTTGAAAAGGTAAAATCGTGGAATAATTTTTTTATTTATTTTTTTTTTTTTTTGCATTTTTTAGTCGGAAACGCAGTGCCAAATTTGTTAAATTAATTCAGTTATCAAATACCGAAATAATATGAATAGTTCGTCACTAGAATTACGAATTTTTAAATTTATTTCGGTCTTAGAGGTCCGAACAAAATTAATATTTTCAGTCCTAGAATGCCGAATTTGTTATTATTTTCGTTTTTTATTGGCCGAATTATTTTACTTATTTCGGCTCTGTAGAACCGAATTGAGATTTTCCCCCTCCTCTTTAGATGGCATGCACTGAAGAACCTGAGATTCGATCGGATATTATGATGGATTGTATTAGCCATTTTACAGCTAAACAGGTAATTTTTAACATAACATTTGTAAATTCATAAATTTTTATTAGTTAGTTTGTTTAGTTTGTTATTATGAAAGTTATGTGACATCATATATAGGTTTTCAACAACAAAGATGAATTGCTCACTTGGGTACGAGACGTTGGAAGGTTAAATGGCTTTGTTATTATTATAAGGACATCGGACTATGGTGGCGGTCGTAAGAGACCAAGAATTTATCTTGCTTGTGAGCGGAGTGAGAAGTATAGATTGCGTAAAAAGTTGAAAGATGGCCCAAAAGCCTTATTGAGACAAACTGGTACGAAGAAATGCGAATACCCATTTGATTTGAGGGCATTCAAGTTGAAAACAAACGATGAATGGACATTGAATATAGTTTGCGGGCTGCATAATCATCCAGCTGCGGAGCATCTCCAAGGACATTCATATGCAGGGAGATTGTCAGCTAATCAAAAGTCACTATTAGTTGATATGTCAAAGAGCCTAGTAAAACCAAAAGAGATACTCATTACACTCAAATAGAGGGATGCCCTTAATATGAGCACAATGAAGACAGTTTACAATGTACGACATCGATGTAGGGTTCTACAGAAAGCTGGTAGATCCCAGATGCAACAACTATTGGGTGAATTAGCAAAACATAAGTACATTGAGCGTCATCGATGTGAGAAAGGCTCTATGACTGTCACGGACTTGTTTTGGGCACATCTAGTGAGTTTGGATTTGCTTCGTACATTTCCTCGTGTGTTGATTATGGATTGAACATATAAGACGAATAGATATCAGCTTCCTCTTCTTGAAATTGTGGGAGTAACATCAACTCATATGACATTCTCCGTGGTTATCGCATACTTGCAAACTGAGCGGGTTGATAATTATGTATGGGCGTTACAAACATTGCGTGATCTTATGGACGACAATGTTTTACCTAAAATCATTATCACAAACAGAGAGCTTGCTTTGATGAATGCCATTGACAACACCTTTCGAATGCTCGACATTTGTTATGTCGTTGGCATATTAATAAGAATGTATTGACAAAATGCAAGAAAATGTTTGAGACAAAAAAAAAATGGGACAAGTTTCACACTGCATGGAACTAGTTGATATTGTCATCGACTGAAGAGGAATTCAATGATCACATTGCAACACTACATAAGGATTTCAGTAACTATCCGGAGGCAATCAAATATGTTACTGTGAGTTGGTTGAATCCGTATCTAGAAAAATTCATTGCGGTACATACAGACATGTGTATGCATTTTGGCAATGTTACAACCAATTGGTAAGATTTTTTTCTTTTTTTTTAATTTATTATAAACATATTGTTATTTTTAATTATTATGCTTGACTATTTTGGTTTACATCCATATGAACAGGGTTGAGAGTGCTCATGCTAGATTGAAAAGGCAATTAGGTTCAAGTCAAATGACATTTGAGGTTTCATTTGAAAAAATACATTGTCTACTTGAGCTGCAGCACATTCAAGTTAAAGCATCATTCGAGAGAGTTTGACAACTGTACAACATCAATTCAAACCTTCTCAATTCAAAGAGCTCCAGGGTAATGTGTTTATTTGTGCATTGGAGTACGTGTTAGCAGAGAGTAAGAGAGCAAATTCAGTTGGAATTGATGTTGCAACATGTGGGTGTGTTCTTAGGCG